ACACACACACACACACACACACACACACACACACACACACACACACACACACACACACACACACACACACACACACACACACATATATATATATATATATATATGTTTATATACGTACATGCATACTCAATAGTGGTGCGTGGGCTAGGTGACGTTAGCATACAGATATTTCATTTGGCGGATCTAGACCTAAATTCAAGTTAAGTGACCAATATTGTCCCTTATTTTTGTTTTTGCCTGTGTGATTCTGCCTATGGATACTTTTTACCGACTGTCAATTGATCTTGTTTATATTTGTATTAAATTTCCTGATTTCACAATCACTAAACCCGATTTATTCTTGAATTTGGAAGCACTTTAGAATTTTGCCTCATGACGATGTCGACCACTGGAGTGATCAGTTCGCGCCTGTTCGAGTCGAGCTATAATGTCCCTTGTGGTTGCCATGACAACGAGAACGTAGAGGCCGAGTCTGAGTCGCTTGCCGATTCGTTTTTGAATTCAGACGACGAGGTGAGTGGGGCGTGGGTTGTAGTTTTCATAAAATCTATTCATAGCTCAGTTACCTACCCCTTACAATCTATTTATAGCTCAGCTTACCTACCTCTTAAAATATATTTATAACTCAGTTTACTTATCCCTTACAATATATTATAGCTCAGCTTACCTACCCCTTACAATATATTTATAACTCAGCGCTTATCTAACCGTTACAATCTATTTATATCTCAGCTTACCTACCCTCCTTCGGGGTTGCAGTGGAACTCTATGTTGCGATTTATGCGTCATTCTTAGGTGTTGTCAAGATTGTAAATGCCACACTGTATCGCACACCTAATGACATGTGCATGAATGGTCTGGTGATGCTTCACTGCACCTTGCCATTGCCAATGGTGAACGGGGTTGTTCTCGTTTGCTGTACATAGCATTGCACTACCGTCCCACCAATGTAGACAGCACTGAACGGATTCAACGAGAATGTCAGAGCTAGCTGTCGTAAATCCATTCCGTTGTTGCATATTTCTTGGGTCTGATGTTCGTATTTCCTTCTGCCAAATAGCAGGCTTTCAGGGTTTAGATATTTTTCTTCTCCATTTGCATTTGTAAACGGTATCACACTCGCACCACACGGCTCGTAGCTAATCGGCGTTTCAATGCCAATTCTTTTGGCAATCCCCTCTAAAAAGGCTTACGATCCGGAGGAATTCAAGAGATTGTGTGTCATGGACTACAGCTCCGTGATGGAAGGTATGTGGTTTCCAACGGAGTGCTCCAGTTTAACAAGTACTTGTGCGTGTAGAAGAGCTCCTGCCCCCCACCGGGAGTGTTAGTATAGGATGTATATAGAGTTATGTCTGGGACGGTCTCTTATCAATCGGTCGATTTTAGGACACACCGGTATGACTCATAATAAGAGGACTTCTGTGTTTTGGCCTACAACCCCCCACCCACCCACACACTCATACATCCCTCAACTCATGCATGTACAATGTTTTTCCAATTGTTTTCAAAACAGTGATGACCGCTCGTGAGCACAAGGAACGAACGGCACCAGAAAGCATATTCATACCAAACAGTACCTTCCCCGACTGCTCCGTCGACGCCTTAGAGCGATCATTCCGGGGAATCGCCCCTGAACCCGCGCCAACTAGCACTGTTGAGGGCTCGGGGGGTGTTGGTAGTATCCAACGTGTCGACCCGAACACACAGGGGTTGATAGGACACCCACAATCCGGTACACACACCGGTGATGCTCAAGCAACAGTCGGAGGTGCAAGTACAGGCGAGCAAGTCGATACAAGCCCAAAGGGCAAAGAGAAAGCCATAGTAGTGAGTGACCTGGATGAGTGGGACGAACCCGATACGCAGATGTTCCATTCCCAAAAACACACAGCATACCACAACTCGTCACCAACAGTTGGAGGTGCGAGTACAGGCGAGCAAGTCAATACAAGCCCAAAGGGACAAAAAGAAAGTCATAGTAGTGAGTGACCAGGATGAATGGGAC